TTAAAATGTTTGAATGCAGATTGATAGTAGGGATCCCTACGAATTCAAAAAGGTATAACATTTCAAAATCGGAGAGCATTAACCCGAGATATTCAATAAAAATCATCAAAAAAGTTTCGATTTTCGAACCGACTCCGAATTTGAGAAAAAACGTGATGTAACCCCTTGCCATTTTGATGATTTTGGTAAAAAATTAGATTTTTATTTTTTTGATGTCAATCGATAGTACTGATTCTTACGAGTCGAAAATGGTATAAAATTCCCAAATCGAACACTATTTGGCCGAGATATTAAAAAAAATCATCAAAAAAGGTTGACTTTACAAACGAATCGGTTTTTGGTCAACCACTTTTTTTAACCCATCGAATTTTAAAATGTTTGAATGCAGATTGATAGTAGGGATCCCTACGAATTCAAAAAGGTATAACATTTAAAAATCGGAGAGCATTAACCCGAGATAATTCAATAAAAATCATCAAAAAAGTTTCGATTTTCGAACCGACTCCGAATTTGAGAAAAAACGTGATGTAACCCCTTGCCATTTTGATGATTTTGGTCAAAAATTAGATTTTTATTTTTTTGATGCCAATCGATAGTACTGATCCTTACGAGTCGAAAATGGTATAAAATTCCCAAATCGAACACTATTTGGCCGAGATATTCAAAAAAATCATCAAAAAAGGTTGACTTTACAAACGAATCGGTTTTTGGTCAACCACTTTTTTTAACCCATCGAATTTTAAAATGTTTGAATGCAGATTGATAGTAGGGATCCCTACGAATTCAAAAAGGTATAACATTTCAAAATCGGAGAGCATTAACCCGAGATATTCAATAAAAATCATCAAAAAAGTTTCGATTTTCGAACCGACTCCGAATTTGAGAAAAAACGTGATGTAACCCCTTGCCATTTTGATGATTTTGGTCAAAAATTAGATTTTTATATTTTTGATGCCAATCGATAGTACTGATCCTTACGAGTCGAAAATGGTATAAAATTCCCAAATCGAACACTATTTGGCCGAGATATTCCAAAAAATCATCAAAAAAGGTTGACTTTACAAACGAATCGGTTTTAGGTCAACAACTTTTTTTAACCCATCGAATTTTGAAATGTTTGAATGCAGATTAATAGTAGGGATCCCTACGAATTCAAAAAGGTATAACATTTCAAAATCGGACAGCATTTACCCGAGATATTCAATAAAAATCATCAAAATAGTTTCGATTTTCGAACCGACTCCGAATTTGAGAAAAAACGTGATGTAACCCCTTGCCATTTTGATGATTTTGGTCAAAAATTAGATTTTTATTTTTTTGGTGCCAATCGACAGGACTGATTCTTACGAGTCGAAAATGGTATAAAATTCCCAAATCGAACACTATTTGGCCGAGATATTAAAAAAAATCATCAAAAAAGGTTGACTTTACAAACGAATCGGTTTTTGGTCAACCAGTTTTTTTAACCCATCGATTTTTAAAATGTTTGAATGCAGATTGATAGTAGGGATCCCTACGAATTCAAAAAGGTATAACATTTAAAAATCGGAGAGCATTAACCCGAGATATTCAATAAAAATCATCAAAAAAGTTTCGATTTTCGAACCGACCCCGAATTTTAGAAAAAACGTGATGTAACCCCTTGCCATTTTGATGATTTTGGTCAAAAATTAGATTTTTATTTTTTTTGATGCCAATCGATAGTACTGATTCTTACGAGTCGAAAATGGTATAAAATTCCCAAATCGAACACTATTTGGCCGAGATATTCAAAAAAATCATCAAAAAAGGTCGACTTTACAAACGAATCGGTTTTTGGTCAACCAGTTTTTTTAACCCATCGAATTTTAAAATGTTTGAATGCAGATTGATAGTAGGGATCCCTACAAATTCAAAAAGGTATAACATTTCAAAATCGGACAGCATTTACCCGAGATATTCAATAAAAATCATCAAAAAAGTTTCGATTTTCGAACCGACCCCGAATTTGAGAAAAAACGTGATGTAACCCCTTGCTATTTCGATGATTTTGGTCAAAATTTAGATTTTTATTTTTTTTAACCGATCGAATTTTAAAATGTTTGAATGCAGATTGATAGTAGGGATCCCTACGAATTCAAAAAGGTATAACACCTCAAAATCGGACAGCATTTACCCGAGATATTCAATAAAAAGCATCAAAAAAGTTTCGATTTTCGAACCGACCCCGAATTTTAGAAAAAACGTGATGTAACCCCTTGCCATTTTGATGATTTCGGTCAAAAATTAGATTTTAATTTTTTTGATGCCAATCGATAGTCCTGATCCTTACGAGTCGAAAATGGTATAAAATTCCCAAATCGAACACTATTTGGCCGCGATATTCAAAAAATCATCAAAAAAGGTTGACTTTACAAACGAATCTGTTTCTGGTCAACCACATTTTTTAACCCATCGATTTTTGAAATGTTTGAATAGTAGGGATCCATACGAATTCAAAAAGGTATAACATTTCAAAATCAGACAGCATTTACCCGAGATATTCAATAAAAATCATCAAAAAAAATTCGATTTTCGAACCGAGCCCGAATTTGAGGAAAAACGTGATGTAACCCCTCGCCATTTTGATGATTTTGGTCAAAAATTAGATTTTAATTTTTTTGATGCCAATCGATAGTACCGATCCTTACGAATCCAAAATGGTATAAAATTCCCGATCGAACACTATTTGGCCGAGATATTAAAAAAAATCATCAAAAAAGGTTGACTTTACAAAAGAATCGGATTTTGGTCAACCACTTTTTTAACCCATCGAATTTTAAAATGTTTGAATGCAGATTGATAGTAGGGATCCCTACGAATTCAAAAAGGTATAGCATTTCAAAATTGGACAGATATTCAATAAAATATTCAATAAAAATCATCAAAAAAGTTTCGATTTTCGAACCGACCCCGATTTGAGAAAAAACGTGATGTAACCCCTTGATTTTTTTTAAATTTTGGTCAAAATTTAGATTTTTAATTTTTGAATGCCAATCGATAGTACTGATCGTTACGAGTCTAAAAAGATATATTATTCCATAATCAGATATTGTCGTTTTTAGGCGACATAACTAAAAACGGCACTAGTTTGCGCGTTTGAAAATGACATCATTTCGCGCGTCTAGAGACAGACGAAGATATTTCGTCGATACCCCACTAAATTCTTGGTATGGTTGTGAAGTGATGGCGATGGCGTGGTAGAATAGGGTTGGGAGATCAAGTCCGGTAACAGGGAAGCAGCTTTTTGAAAACTTCTCTGTAATTGCTTAAGCAAACGAGCGCGTAGCGCTAGTTGCAGTTTGTATTGGTAGAAGATGGTTCAGTGTACCCCCTAGTCGGGCACTTCGGGCTAGGGCTCTCTCACTTGCTTTATTTTAATCTATTATCTACAAGGCCACATCTTACCAAAATAGGACGTCAGTTAGCCGAGTATTAGTCGTTTTGAATTTTAAATTATACAAATATAAATTATAATCAAATTAATCACAATATTAATAAGTTATTTACTTTATTTAATATATTTAAAGTGGCAACATTCTCGCAGGTCTATCCTCTTTTCGTAGGCCTAAAAACATTGCTTTAGCAACTAAATTTTTAATAAGTTTGTTGTTTTTACTTTCCTCGGAAAGCCTCTGTGTGCGTGTAAAGTGGACATATCCAAAAAACATGCATAAATCATCAAAAGCAGCGCTGACAACTAATGAAAACATGCAAAAATTTATTACAGCCGAAATCGACTAAAAAGAAAAGTCTGCTGCGCAAAATTTTTTTCGCTGCCAGCCGTCGGGCCGTTTAAATTGAAAAAGAAATTTAAAATGGGTAAAAAATGAATTCATTTGCTTTATGCACAGCACGCAAAAAGCGGCAATAAAAACATTCGAGCAGCCCACCGGAAATGCAGCCCAATTTTTGTGCGGAAGTTTATTTGTGGCGACACTGTCACAGGCGCTGCCTCCCTTCATTTTTTTTGTTTTACAGGTGGAAGGTTCTGGAATGTGACACGATGCGACGATGGCAATGTGGCCGCGGCCATGTATAAAATTCTCACAATTGCAATTTGTAATAAAAACATGCAGTTTTTTGTCATTGTTATGGGGCGACTTTTATCGCACACTTTTACAGAGATACGGGCACTAGTACATGCCCCATAACACACTATATAAAGCGTACCCCATGCAGCTGCTTACGTGGGGTGTTAAATCATTTCCACCATGCGGCTGCATCTGAGGGTTGGCGCTTAAAATGCTGCCAAGATATGAATTAAAAGTGCGCACTGTGGCATGGGTGCAGTGGGTATAATATTTCTGGCTGCGGCATGTGCTGCACGCTCAACGAGTGAAATTCGACATACATATGTATACACTACCCGTATACTGCTATTAGCGAGATGTTCTTTAAGTTAAAATCAACACTTCCAACTGGCTTAAGAAGTTCTCTATTAACGTAAACCATATACCCAAAACAATATCTTTTCAAAAAATTGGTTTGGTTTAAGGTAATATTTTTGTATCTATTGGAAAATAATAATCGTTAACTTTTTATATTGCGTTTAACTATAATTTTAATTATCTAATTAAATAATATTTAACTTAGTTAACAGTTGCGAAAAACCTGGTTCACAGCTCACTTGTCATAAGTGTGCTAGGGTATTTAAAGTGCGACACGCCGCATATAACTAGTTCTTATATTTTTTTAAAATATTTTTTGTTTCTTCATGCGATTTTAAGTGTTCTCTCAATTTCATATTCCCCATATCAGAGTGTTAACTATTAAAGGTCTCTTCCCCACAATTTAAACAGAGCATGAAATATTGCTTGTCGTTATAGTTCAAGTGTCCTTTCAGCCACGATTGCTCTCTCATACTTTCTCTGTTAGTATATATCTATATCTATATATGTCACACTTACCATTCAATGGGAAAGCTAATTAACATGCGGCAACACTTTTGTGGCACTCAGTGTTGCAAACAACTGGCAGCGATGCGTACGCATACAACGGTCAAAGGTTTCTGCCTGTGCCACTTGCTGTGCGTGTGGCGTGTGACTGCCAGATTGGGCATCTATCTGGGCTACTACAATGTGGGCTATGCACCGGATGGCCAGTTCGTGTGGGACGAGCAGCTCTATGTGCAGATCATGAGCGTGGCGAATATGATTGCCTCATTGGCGTATCTATGGCTCAGCCAGTGCTGGATCTACGATCAGCTGCTGTTCCTGCTCTTCGTGCCGCTCTACATCTACTTTCAACGTCTGCGCCAGCATCTGACCAAGCTGCTGAATGCCTGCGCCCAAATACATGGCACACTGCAGCGCATTCTGGGCGACAGGATGTGTGTGCCCCTATGGCGGGAGTGTGTGCTGACACTGCTGCTGCCCGTCGAGCTGCTTTTGCTATTCGGCTGGCAGTGCCACATGTACTACAGCTATCAGTCGTGCTTCATGGCCGGCGTCGCCTTCATCTATCACATGCAGCTGCTCTTTTTGGGCAACTATCTCATCTGGCTGGCCAGCATCTACCGGGCGCTGAACGTGTTTCTGCAGCACCACATGATCAGCTCCCGCGTGGGTATTTTGCGCAACATACTGCGGGAGCAGGTGAGCATTTGGAGCGTGCATTGGCACATAATACGCTACTTTGCCCTGCATCTGCTCAGCTTTGTGGCATTGATTGCGTTGCGCTTCAGCCAACTGCTTCTGGACTGGCGACCCGCCAATGTGCTTAACATCGATCGCCTGCGTCTGGTGCATCTGTTGCTGCTGCTGATACCATTTATAACGCTGCTGATCAGCTCGTATGATCTGCAGAAGCAGCGTTGCCAATTCTATGGCAATTATCTGCAGCTGACGGATCGCTTGGAGTACTTTAAATTGAAGTCCTGGTGCCTGCTGCGTAACCAAACGCTGCCCATGCCCTTCGGCCTGCCCATACTGCAACCCTTCGCCAGGCCACAGCACAAACGGGATGTCATTAGCATGTTGGTCAGTGTGACGATGGTTCCTTGTCCATGGCGTAATCAAATGTTTTTCACAGTTTTCCAGCAATTTACCGGTCACACATCTACGCCTAAAACCCCTGCCGTTGGCCATCCTGGGTCTGAGTGCCCATCAGCTACAGCTGACACTGCCCATGCTCCTCGACAGTTTCATCAAAGTGGGCTGCCTGGTGTTGCTCTCCCTTTGGCTGTATTTATGGCAGCACACACACATGCAAATCAACTTCTACAACAGCTATACGCAAGGTAATTTCGATATTAATGTGACGCAAACAATTAGCCAGGTCTATCGCTGGTACATGTACGATGAATTAGAGTGAATTGTCTGTTAATTAGCCATCTATTTATAAAATGCGTGCAATAAATGAATATGTAGTCAATATTATTTTCGATTCAGTTGATTATCAACATGCGGCGCTTTAAGTTCCTATATCAGCTGCTGAAATTTCAGTGCTTCATCCTGAATTGCGTGGGCTTTCTGAAGATACGCTTTGATAGAGCCCACCAGCGCTATCGTCTGGACTCTGGCTGCTGTTGTCTTTTTACCTACTTGCCCAGCTTTCTGCTCGTGCTGCTTAACTTTTTGCACTTATATCTGCGCTGGGACTTGGAGACCCATAACGCCAGCCTGAACGAACTGGAACCCGGCACGCAACCCGAATTGGATGTCTTGGATTTCATCAACCAGATCTGCCACAATGTGGCCTATGTGTGGATAATCATCAGATGTTTGACTTGCAGGCTTCAGCTTTGGTATATGGTGGATCAGGCCCAATTGATCTTTAAGCATCTAACTTCTTTGCTGGGTGAGCGGTTAGAGCCCAAATGCTCTTGGCTGCTGTTCTTGCTGGGCGCTCAACAGTTATTCTTGCTGCTGCTGCTCACATGGAAGCTCTTCTGGCTGGATTGGCCGCCGGCATATGATAGCGTCTATAATGTCATCAGCTATGCCATGGGTGCAGTGCATCTGCTTCTGGCTCTGCTGCTGACACTCCACCTCTTTCAGCATCTGTTGCATGCAGCACTGCTGCAATCGCTAAATCAGCTATTGCAACAATTGCACTTGCCGCATAAGCTTGGGCTGCTGCGTCAGTTGTTGCACGTGCAGCCTTTGCTTAAACGAATGCAACTCTTGGCTGCCTACTACTTTAGGGCCACATTTTGTTGGTACTTCTTTGTATTGTGCCTCAAATGTGGCATCTTTGTGAGCGAATTCAGCTACGATGAGAACGTGTTATTGCAGCGCCAAAAGAGTCAGGACGACATTGAGGATGAGGCCGAGTGGATGGGCATGGAAGCGCCACCCACACGTGACCAGCAGCTGACCTCGTCGGCACTGCAACTGGCATGGCAAGTGGCAATATTGTTGCCTCTGCTGTGTGCGGCAAAGTTGCAGCAGCGGGAGCATGAAAAACTGTTTATCAACATCTGGAAAATCGAGTTTCCAAGCCAAGCTGCGACTGCTAGACCAAGACTTCAGCGTCGCCGGACTGCTAAGGACATCATCAGCTTTTTGGTAGGCTTACAATTTTTGATATATTTACCGATTTGTCCATGTACATAACTCTCTATCCAACTGCAGCTCAGCACCCGAGTGCCTTTCGCAGACTATCGTCCACAATCCATCAGCTTTATGGCTTGGAAACCAAATGCGAATGCGGCTGTTATACAATTCGCTGGCATTATTAGAGGCTGCAAAATGCTGCTGCAGGTGGTGCTCTGCACCGTCATCACGGATTTTGTGCAGCAAATGGAGCTGAGGCACTTGCAGAGCTGCCTTAAAGAGAGCTCCAACTAAACGAGATATAAATATAAAATGTTAAATAAACTCATTTAAAATTCAGCATTGAGCAATGCGGCTACATTTGAGTTGAGCTACAATAAACTGTGCAAATTGTACAATAATTAAATTAGCATATAAATTATTCAAATGACAGCCCACAAAAAGCTGCATGTTGGCTCTTTAACCTGCACGCACCACAATTACATAATGAACAACAAGCGGCGGGCGGCCCCTTTGAGCGGCCATTTTAACGACCTGGCCAGCGGCAGCCATGTCCGGCATAAACCTATATACTTATTTATACTGTGTAAAAGAAAGGTATAAAAAGGGCCAGGGCTTTCAACTTGAAACTTTTGCCATTATAAAGATAAAGTGGGCGAAGGCAGCAACTTTATGTTGTTGTTATGTTGTTGTTATTATGATGCGCCTTCCTTGAAATTTACCTTTTCCAGGCTTTCTGTCGGGTAATTTATGCACAAACTTGATTGAATTTGCTTTCGCATTCGCAAGATTTCAGCACACTTACACATTGTAAAAAGGCAGAAGGAATCAAATGAAATTCAATAAATTAACATAAATCTCAGGCACTCGCTGGCGCATTTTACTTATATGCAAATATCAATTGCATATCGTGGAAAAGTCCAAGTGGAAGTCGATCGATTTCAATAAACTTCATGCCACGAACTGGCAACATATATGTACATATGTGCAACATATGCTGCAGTCAGGAAATTCAATCAAATGCGCAACACGAGGCTAGAAGTCTGTGCACACAGCGATGCACACCGAAGAGTGCATACACTGCTTGAACAGATTTGGGCTGCAAAAGTTTTAATAATTTCATTATGCATTTAAGTTCAAACTTACTGTAATTAATACAAATACTAATAATAAACATAATATATAATAATATATATAAGTAATCGAAATAATTAATATAATAAATATAAGAATAATAATAATAATACACATATTATAAAATGATAATTTTAAAAGGAGAGCTTTTTGAAATAAATGACAATATCTACCTTCGATATCAACAAGTCTAGAGAAAGTATTTTATTTATTTGGAGTTTCGGTACTCAACTGGTTTATTCACAGTAATTAGATTCGACATATTTCCTTTAGGTGTGAGAAGCGCTTGGCCAACTAAATTGGCTTGGCGCACTGCCTTAAATTAAGTAATCGCGTGTCAATTGCCAGTTGTAGCTGTTAATCTCTTGAAGATCTGGCCAAGCGGCTTTAAAGCGCACCTTCAACAACGTTGAATACTGTCGCCGACGCCATTTTGTCGGCCATTTTGTCGCGCTGTGTAGGCGCCATGCAGCGGCCATGGCTGTTTATGGCTTGCATGATTTCTTCGCCAGCTTCGCTGGGCTGGCACTTTGACTGCCTGCCAAATGGCCGCTTCGAGTGCAGAGGGCAAAGGGCACAGGGCTAAAATATTTCAGGTCAAATATTTGTTGGTGCCGTATCGAATTTCGCTATCGTTTTACACGTGTCGCGCAAAGTCACCCCGACGTTATTGATTATGCCGAGAATTATTTGCTTAAATTTGGCCAGTTGCCTTGGTAGCCGTTCCAGCTGTCAATTTGGGATTGCATGCATAATTAATGTACAATGTACTTGTTTACAGATATGTGAAAGCTGAGGCAGCTGCAACTAGATTCTGACAACTGATGGCTGTCGAAATGTGCGTCGCATTTGTGGTTAATGAAATTTTAATTAGTGCGAGACAAGCGACAAAACTACGTCCAAGAATTAACATAATTGTTAGAGCGTACAGCAGCACCAACATCAGCATCAGCAGCTGGGAAACCACGGAGCGGCAAGCGGAAAATCAATGATAAGATCATATAAGGGTCGGCAGACGGCAATTACAAGCATCAAAGATTCATATCGTTAAACGCTGCTGGGTGTGCTTACCATCTTTTATAATCCCATAATAATGACTTTATCTTTGAAGCATGCAATAAATCTCTTATACCCAAAGGAGCACAGATAAAGAGTGCTGCCGCCACGGCCGTGCTGCCAAGGTCCTAAATGAAATATTACACATACGCCGCTTGGCTCTGGGGTTGTTTGTAGTGTGTGGTTACTGGTGTGCCTGTGTGTGTGTGTGTCTGAGTCTGTGTGGGTTCTTCTCGCATAAAAGTTAATTAATATGCCATGGTAAGCTGCTAAATACAGCGCAAAATATGCCAACAACTTGCCTGACGGTCAAACATGGCGTATGCGTAATGCCTTGATGCATGCTTCTATGTATGCGTGATATGGATATATCAGCGATTGATCCGGCTACCAGCTACCAGCTACCAAAAGAAACAAATTTGCATGCAAATTTCAATGGGCGCATTGTCGACTTTGGATAACAAATAAAAAGCAGCTGGAAATATGCAAAAATCGAATCTGCGCATCTATGTAAATATTTATTTATATCTGCCATGGACTTTACCTGCCATTGTTGCTCTCTTGTGCGTTTCCATTTCAGGCAGCGAAGAAGAATATGTTCGATTTTTAACAAATCCGCATAACAATGAACTTTTTTGCAAAGTTTTAGCTGCAGCCACCCCCACCCAAAAAAATATAAATACATTTCACTCTGCCCAAAAATAAAGAACTTGTTTCCGTTACTGTGACTGATAAATACGTATAGATATTGAAATCTATTTGTAATATTTGGATGAAAAGAAGAAAACATGAGAGAGAATTCCTGATGAAATTGTTTGCGTAACATTTCTCTACATACTTTTGATTAAATTTGCTATATTTTTTTCCTTTTTGTTTTTCCATTTCCTTGCCTGCAGCAAATAAAAGTTTGAGGGGGACTTTCTTTGAATTTGCGTTGTGATTTTTCAGAGCATAAAACGAAATTGAAGGCAAGCCACGAATCGAGCTCTAGGCACGGGGGCGTGGATACTTTATAATTAACGTCGGGCAGCCATAAATTTTAATACCAACTTGCAATCAGATAAGCCAGAAAAAGCCAATTAGCCAAACGCACTTGTTGAAGCAAAAACGATAATTATTTCGCCACAATAAATAAGACAGAAATAATAAAAAGAGGCGTAAATAAAATAAAATTTAAAATTAACCGCAAATAAGTGCATAAATTAAGATAACGTATAACTCATAAATAAGCGTTGTATTATGCATGAAATAACAGTAGACATTTTAATGAGGCTAGTGGAAATGGAAAATGAGGGAAATGGAATGTGAAAATATTGTAAAGATGTGCAGCTGTCAATTGAATTTATTATATAATTAAGTGCAATTTGTGCGCACTAATTGCAACTGTTTGTCCGGCTTCATTTGCAGCTAATTGTTTAATGTGCGGCACGCAAGAAAAATGCGTAAATAAAATCAACACAACGCACATTAACGAATGTAATGATGTCTTTTTTTTTGTAATCTGCAATATCGTTTGGTATTTAGCAGCATTATTAACCTACTTTCGAAGGCTTAAATGTAGTTAATAATACATATGTATATACAATGATTTTTGACAATTATGTGAAATATCAACAAATATTAACA